TGCTTTGAATAAAAGTTGTAGGTGATACTATTACCTATGAAAAATTTGAAATCACTATAATTTTAGCTTTTTAATAGTAATAGGAATCTATAATAACAAATTCAACATGTTAGCATTGTTTAAGTATATAGCCAATACATCCTTAAACAACGATCAAAAATCTTGTTCAACTTTTATGACAGAAGCATCCCTCGTGAAATGACAAGCGAAATCTTCACGTACCAAAATCACACACCTCTCATGATTCCTTAGCAAACAACTCTGACTCGATTTGGACAGGTACATTCAAACTACTGATCAGCAATGTACATAAAAATTCGTAGCCCCTGTGTTTTACGCTCGTATTCACGGCGGCGCATGTTCTACGGGAATTGTTTCCGCGCACGAGGGTAACGTGTTCGCCGTGTAAACCGCAGACATTTTTTCTCCGGGAACGTGAAAATCCCGCCCCCGCGCGTCGCGCTTCGTTCCTCGGTCGCCGCGGTTGTTTCTCGCAGGTATTCGCGCGCCGCGAATAAAACGCTGGCATATTTCAGACTTATTGTCCTGCGCGACGAGAACACCACCGCGCGTCGTATCGGTCGTCCTTTATTGCGACCAGTTTTATTCCCGCACAGCGTTACACGCGCGGATTCCTAATCTATCTTGAACCCCTTGCCTCTCAAATTATTCTCACGCAGCGAATGCAAAAACTCCGAGGTTGATTAAAAAAAATGACATACATTAAATCTTTTAATGGATATTATAATCAAGATACTAATGAATAGTAATGGATAACGACTGTTCAGGCTAATGAAGAGAATACTAGAAATAATTATTTGTCCTTTCAAAGAACTGTTTAATCCACAGGCGAGCACATAAACAACTTCTGCTCGATCAATAACCGCAAAATCATGACCATTCAATAAATAACAACGTTCAATCAATCCTGCACATAATAATCGTTTGCGGGGCGCGTATCAATTATTTTCCGACCCGTTATAAATGTTTAAAATAATATGTAATTAATGAATTCGCGTAATTGCACCAGATCCTGCCCGTGAACACATAATATATTCGCATATTTGCCTTGCTGTTTGACATTAATGAAATTAATTTGAGAGATGATATCATCGTCGACGCGTTGATGTAATTGTAGTTTCATTAATCTTTCGGACGTATTACGCAAACATATAGTCGTCAGTTATTAATAAAATATTTTGCTCATTGAATTTAAGACGCGAGAACATCTGTCTACTGTCTGCGCGAGACCGACTGAATCTACTGCGCGGACGCCTATCTTCAATAATGATTTTATAGCTCTGACAACAATTTTTAATATAAATTTTCGTATCATTAATGCATGAGAACTAACATATGTATGAATACTACAGATTCCACTGCAAAGGAAAAAGACACTAATTATACGTTACTCATCTGAAAGCTCGGAGCGCGCTTTAAACGCGGTGGTTCGTTAACGCAACACAGAAGCGATCCGAAAATCCACGAGTCGACACACGTCGGATTACCGGCATAAAACGGCGGATTCGCGATTTTTCCCGTGTACCGTCGGATTACCGCGGAAGTTTTGACGTCAGAGGTTGCGAGGGAGGCCAGGCAGGCGTCACACAAAAGAAGCCGGCCGGGAGAGACGACGGTAACGAGAGAGAGAGAGAGAGAGAAAGAGCGCCTCGGTGGCATAGAAGAGGCCTGAAAAGCGGCTTGGATGGCGGTGCCACGTTTGAAGTAGCATTTCCTTGGCACCAACGACCCTCTTAATCAATTGCTAGCACCTTTATCGCGGCTCTCGAGCCTCGGCGCCGCGTAAAGTCCCGGTAACAAGCCGCAACTTCGATAAATCTCGCTCCTCTTTCTTTTCCAGCCGCGCGAAGAAATAGAAAAGAGAAACGAGAGGCATATATCTCGATTCGATCGTCGCTTAGAATGCGAGGCACACTTAACGGGGAAGAGGAGAGGAAACGTGGTTTCGCGGGAGACAGGCGAAAAAGCTTTTTCGAAGACTCGTGACCTCGGAATATGGGAGGCGTGGGTCGAGCGAGAGGGGAAACTTATGAAAATCCGGGATTTATCGCGGTGTGCACGGGAGAGCCTCCAGCAGGAGGCTCTGACAAATCGTCCGGAAGTTAACGTTCGATCGTTACCCGAATCCTCTTTTCGGCGGAGCAACCGGGCCAGACACCCTCCCTGTCCCGTGGACCAGCTGCCTTTGAAAGCTCTGATAAAAGTTTTAATCCGTTTCGCCAACCGACGCGCGGTTCCTGTTGCTCACGGGCAACCCCCCGTCCCCCTCTCTCCATCCCTAGGGGGAATTCTAGCTTTTGTCCAGGGAAAAATACGCAGGAACCGAACGGACGTCTGTTCCATAATGGTTTAATGAGACTAATCGAGTGGTTTTCAGAGGTTGCTTAGAGAAATTGAATAGAGTCAAGCTCTTCGGCCTGATGCATCTCTCTGTAATTTATTTGCCTCTCCGTCCAATTCGCATTTAGGATCAGCGATAGAAATTGAGTTAAAAATGGCATCGTTAGCAATGATTTTTTTTTTAAAAGAACCTCGAGAACTTTTTCCCGTACAAACAGATGGAATCGTCAGTGCTCGAAAATCCATCGCCGGGAGAGGTGATAAAAGAAGAGCTTTTATTTTCCAGCCAGTCTTCGAAACGCTATTCGGCTCAGCTGCAAAGGCCGCTTAAAACGATTTATTGAGATCAAGCCGCGCCGGTACGATCGTAGCCGGGCAACAAAGGGCAGACATTTAGTTTCAATGGAAATACACGAAACTGAAGCAATCTGGAAGTTCCGGCTTGCCTCTCTTTCCGAAGAAAATGGACTCGGCGGAGGTTACGCCTCCATTTCCTTCGGGGTTAATCGTTAATGCAATCGATTCGAAACGATTCTGGCACGGGGGAAACGTTTGAACGCGACGCTCATTTAGATTTCTAAACTCGTGTCTGGGATTCGCTTTGTATTTTTAGGGCCACGACGGTTGCAGTTTTAAGAAATTCAAGATTTCACGATATTCTTTCTTCAACCATTTCTTTCTCTTCCTCGCGATTGCATTTTCATCCGTTGGGAACTTTTTATTCAAAGATACTTGGTTTAAATTTCCACGTGCAGAATCTACACGTAAGCGATCTATTTTTTAAATTAATTACACAGGGTTTTGTATGAAGTATTTTATGAGCTCATGATGAGAATTAAACGGTGCAGCAGTATAATAAAAAAATCATGGAAGGTCGAACGTTTTCTATTTGATTCACGAGTAATCGAAGATAAATTAAAAAATGTTACGGCAGCTAAAGTCGCAGGCGGGTGGACAATAAATAATTGGCTTACATCGGGCACATAAATTTCAGGGGTCGCGGCCTCCCTGAAACTTACCCCGGAATTTATTATAATGGGGATCTTCCTCTCGTATTTTTGGGATCGCAATTAATTTTCTCGTTTTCGATGCCGGTGCTCGGCACGCTCGCAGACCAGATTAGCCGGCAGGGTGCGGCGCATTTGCGCGGCCCTAATGCAGAATTATTTTGCTGAAATACGCCGATCCGTGGCGCGCCGCGGCGCACCGCATTATCGCCGACGCTTTTTCTGACGCATTTTTTTTTTGCTGATAAGCTGCCGGTCATTCGTTCCGTTTTATCGGCGCCGATGCGGGCGCCTCGTCCCCTGTTGCCAAATTTGTGCACGCGATTAAATTAATAGAGCTTAAAACGTTTCGATTCTTATCACGGCGTGTAACACGGAGATGATATTCCATTTATTCATTTCTGTTTAAACTATTTTCGACGGAGACTGCGTTTGTTCAAAGATTTCGTTTTCAGACTGTTTCTGAAAAGAATGCAATGATTAGAAATGGCGAAAGAGGACTCACCGGTGCCAGCCGCCCCCAGCCTCAGGACTGCGTCGCCTTGAAGGGAGATGGAGAGAGTGGCCGTGTCTTCGAGGCGCGCAAGAACTTCTTCGGGAATGTCCTCGGGTTCGCGGAGGCGGAGGGTCACTTCTCCTCCGCCTCCGCCACCCTGACCACCTCCGCCCCCAGGACTCGTCGACGCCGAGTACATGAACACAGATCCGTACCCATGTAATGACTGCAACGGCAGCCTAACGCCGCCCACTTCCCCGACCGGACCCTGGAAAAAAAAAGCATTCAAACGAGTTAATAATATTTCTTGAGAACTTTCCCCTGATTCATTCGCTCCTAAGTGAAATTCCATGTTTTTTATTTGAAATATATTTTTATCTGTCGATCTTTGAATTATTAAATAGAAACGCAAAATGTAAAATGTCAGAGAGGGGCCGCGTTTAGTCGAATGAGCAAAAATATTTCGCCGTCCACGCGCATTTCAATTCTCGTGCGTCAATATTTGCCGAATCACGTCGAGAAAGGATTTCGATGTACCAGCGTGTAATTCGGCGGACGCTCTATCCGTTCGCGGTTCTTCTAAAAACGCTAGTACCGAGTATTAAAATAAAGAAAGTCGAGAAATGAACGTAAACATTCTAATAATAACTTTCTATGCTCAATCTGTTAGTATATCTTTATACGTATAATTAAAGAAATCGGAAGCAATTAATGACTTGTTCGTGTTTCATACATGATAAGAATGCGTTAGAATGGACAGAAACAATACAAACGAGGAATAAAACTTGTTCTCGAATTCAGCTTCGGTATGCTATTCTGCTTTGGCCGAACGAGACTATCAAAAAGAAGTTACGAGTAGCTCTCAAAAAAGCTCGTTCAGGTTGTAATAAAACTCGCCTCCCGGTGGAGGCTGTCGCTGATAATTTTCCATGCATAATAATACGCTACGCGAAGAATTTGAATAATCCACTTTCACGCTATTTTCCCGTCTGATAAGTCATTAATCCAGTACCGAGGAAACTCGTAACCGGCCCGTAAACGAATCTGGATCTGCTTCGCCCTGCGCCGGAAGAAGTGGAAACGCACGCTTCGATACAGTATTGCTTTTATAAATTTCTAATGCTGTTGCATACGTATAAATTTTCACGTCGACATGGCAGTCAAGAGTTCACAAGGTGACAAGTCTATCTATTCATATATTTCGCCTGCACCATTGCCATTGCAAAACTCGAACAAACAAAATCCGAGGAAATCGTTTCTCATCGAAACAAGGATTGCGCGATCGGGCGCAATAAAACATTTTATGAAGCACGGGGGATTCTCTCGTACACGACGCGAAAAAATCGCATAGAGACGGAGAGAGGGAGAGAGAGAGGGGCAAGCACGGCGTGCATAAATGTTCCCGCTGATGAGTTATTGCCGGCAAATGGCCGTATCCAGTTTGTAACCGAGGCGGCCGGGGGTGCAGCACGTTGGACACATTGTTTACAAAGTATCTGACCACCGTGACGGTGCGACACGCGCGCCCACTCCCCTGCCCCTCATTTTTTTTTCTACCGCGCGTAAAGTGCGTTTTGTCGTACCATTGCAGTGCATTAAGCTGCGCTAGCGCGAAACAGACACACGGCTACGTGATTTCGCACCCTCCGCTCCGACCGCGACCCTCGCAGTTTTCACCCTTCGCGCTGCGCGCAGCGACGTTTATATTTTTGCGGTGACCGTTGTACCGTTTATCCTACGACCGTCCGCTAGATTCGAAGAGTACGCACGCAATGATTTCAGCTTTGAAAAGTGGAATTTTTGGTTGCCACTCTTCCGTTCGGCCGTAACTCCGGCTGCGTTTTTCGAAACGCGTGAATGATAGATTTAGAACTTCGCTTTTTCCCAGCAATTTCTGAAGGGTTTTCATCAAAAACATCATTTTGCTTTCTATTCGTACGGTTCATGTGTTTCGCGTTTCCAGTTAAATTTAAATTAATTAAACGTGCTTGTGTGGTTTCATTAAAGTGTACTGCTGACTTTCGGTGAATTAATTAGCGTTTGAAGGATTTCTAACACGGCCACCTAGAGAACTAGAAAATTGATACTGTTCGCTCCCCGAATGAATTTTAAATAAGAAGAATTTTAATTATTTCGAACATAATTTATATTATAACACAAATTGCACTTTTACAAGATGAAAATAATACAAGCGTGTTGTATAAATAAACAATCTTGTTTAAAAATGAGCTAAGAGGCGATATTCCTTATGAAATAATGTAACAAATCGAGAAGTCACATCGGCGTTGGAATACGATTCGCAAGCGGTTGGACAAAGAGGGACGCGCAGACGGGACGCGTTTGGGGGATGAATTATAGTTGCAAAACAGAGTCGCAGAGGCAACAAACGCGAGTGGTGTGCAGAGCGTACGGGTACAAGCGTAACACGCTTTGTCGGTTAGCTTTTTCGAGCGGAGGACACCTGTGAACACCGATGCGACTCTTTTTTCCCTCGAACCCAACGCGACGCGACGCGCCGGCTCGTCTCTGTCGACCGTACGGCCGCTGTTTGCCCTGTCACTGGCAAACAGAATGTGATTTGGATCGAGTCTATACGGGATGCGCAAACATCCGCGACAAATGGAGTTACTACTTTCTAAGCGGTAATTTTTAAATTGCGCCGCGTTTGCACACCTGTATTGATTTAGATCCTTTTTACTAGAATAATTGAAAAATAACGATAGCTCTGCCGACCGATGGTGCACTGCGCTATAATATTCACTCGTATATTTAGAAACGTGACAATCGAATTTTCACATTTCACGTTTTAAAGATTGATCGTAGATTTAGTCTAACTCACAGAAATAGTATACAGTTGTAAACGATTCGAACTATACCATATTCAGGTGAATGATCTTGTGAAAAAGTGTTGGGAGTTTGAAACTGCTGCAGCACGGGGATTTATTCACCGATTGCATCGCGGATATCTTTTACTACACACAGTCGCAGTCCGTGCAACGGTCGGATGCGAAACGGAAGGGGAGAGGCTCGCCCGTTTGTTTTCATTAAAAGTTATTATCCACCGTGTAAAAACTTCAATGCGCGCGGCCAGGCTAACATTCTTAAACCGCCATTGTGCTCGAAACGCTTTTCTCTTGTTTTTTTTTTTCCCACCCCCGCCCCGTTCTGCCTCCGCAGCCGCCACCGGTCTCGACGACCCTCTTTGTTTTTTACCACGCTGCATCGCGACTGGCCGGCCGCGCGTAGCACAATTACCGGGAATGACTTTGCGAATTGGTTGTTTCGACGGAATAACGTATCCACATGAAATTACGATTCCAGCCATTCTCGCCGGAACGTTGTTTGCTCGCTGTTTGTCCGCGCGAGAAATGGTTAAAAACAGGGCGCCTATTTTAATTTTATCTTTTATACGTGCATATTTGTCTCTCCTTTTTGTATAAATTTTTTTTAACAAAAAGAATGTGACTCTTTTCCCGATTAGAACTAAACGGAGATCACCGCGGATTAAGTTTCGAATCACTCGTTTAGGAAATAGCACATGGGAAATGTTAATTATAGTTTAATAACAACATTTACTCCACTATGCATATGAATTGCTGAAAAATTGGAGAGATTCGATTAGATATGAAGAGGAAAGGGAAATAAAAGCTGCGGAACGCAACGCAACTGCCCATTTCTCCTGGAATTTCGTTTGGACGATCGATAAGACGTCAAATCTTATCAAAGAACAATATTACAACTCCCGCGGTAATTCCCGCGCGTCACGATCGAGGCGAGTCGGGAGTGAAACGAACAAGGAAAAACGCGGCGCAACCAGGTCGGCGAAATATTCCGCGAATGATGTAACTCGGTTGTTCCGCCGAACTCGTTTCGCGAACGAAGATTGATGAAAAACGTAATTACTGAACTTACTGCCAGCCCCCGCGCTTCTATCCCGCCGCGGCGCGTCGCGTCTGCGAGAAATCTGCATTTAATGTCGCTGTTATTGACAAACGGGACCCTCGTTTTGTACCTTCGCTCCGTTGCTCCCGGCTCTATGGGATTACTTTACTACGTTTAAAGAACAGGCTGTACTCTTTCTTGAAAAACATTTCCAAGTCTCTTATTTCAGTACAGAGAACGTTCGCGGTTTCGGATGATGCGAGTATATGAAAATGAATATTTAATTAGAACTTCTACTTTGACGATGTTTAAGAAACATTGATAAAGAAAATTGGTAATCCTATCTTCAGAACAATTTATTAATAAAGACGGACGCACTAGAAACTGTAGGTTGAAAATAATGAAAGCATCGATCAACAATTAAATTCGATCAATGAAGACAGTATCGGTGAAATGCGGTTACAAAGGCAGTGACACGGGTTCGACGCCGGGGCGGTGGGTAAAAATTGGCGCGGCAGTGAAATAATTCAACGGGCGTCGCGTCAAGAACAGCGGCGGAACTTTAACCACGAATTATAGACGCGACTATATTTCCCCGGCAAGCCCGTTCGCGGCGGTCCACGGCGACGCCCTATGGAACTGGAGAAAAGCGAGGCGGCCGGCGTGGCCTGTCTTTCGCGGCTGCTCCGGGTAAAAAGTTGTCTGGCTTCTATCGGGGTAACGTCCTGGTCGCATATAATAAAACGGGTCGCCTTTCATGGAAACGCTCTCGCCCCCCCGGGGCGCTTTTCTTTCATTTCTGACGTAATTACGCGGAGCGGCGCAAGAAAAGGAAGGGAGACTGCGAAAGGGCAGCCCCGCGATGGAGAATAGGACGGGGAGAGAAAGCGCGGAGAGAATATTTCGCGACCGAGACAGTTGTAGATATATATACGTATACATACATACATATTCTTATATATACGTTTATATATATATATATATACTGCCAACCCTTCTCTTGAAAACCTAGCCGCGACCTACTACCTTCGTTCTCTCAATAAACCCAGCGCGGTCTGACTTCGACGGTGAACACCGTCTCTCGCCTTTTCTCTTTCTCCGTTCCCTTTGCCTCGGTTCTTTACCTTTTGTGCCCGAGTGATGATTCAGAGAGTAGTTTAAGTGGGTTCGCGTTTATTTTTTCGGAGTTCTCCCTTGTCGGAGATATTGGTGGAAAAAAGGTCGGCTGAATGTTATTCTGTTTATAGATGGAGTGTATTCTATGAATGGAAAGCGAACGGTGTTGCACGCGGGCCGAGTTCCGCGGGATTAATCCGAGAAGATTGGAAATGTGTAGAGAGTGAAAGAAAATATTTCGCGGCTTCTTGTTATTACGGAATATTTTTA